AACCGAAGACGAATAACAATCATGCCGGCACCATCAAAGATCGTATCACCTAGTTCGCGAGAACAGGCACACCATCCTACGAATGTTCTTGAGACAGCTATATTGCAGGATAGACATTAGGTAAGCGATTCAATGAATAAGGCTTTGTGACATGCGCTTTACAGGTCTACTTTCTTAAAGAAGTGAAGAAAGATTGATCTCTCATCCTTTGGAGGTATGATAGAGAGCTTTCGGAACGCTCGTTTCCCTACGTTCGACGTGTATATCTATACTATTCTGATGTACAGTTCTAGTCAAATTAGCGGCGGAATTCTTTATTCCAAATGTGAAATACAACATTCCCATTTAATGGCACCACAGTTGTATGCCTCAATATCATCCTATCCTTGCTCAACTTGAGTTGAATATTTTATTTTTATATATTTATATATATTGGTCATGAATAGTAAATCTATTTCCGTGTTCGAGTACACTATTTTATTGATTATTGCTATTACATGTTTTACTCCTTTACGCAGTCTCATCTAGCCACTATCGAGTTATCGACTAAAGTCTGCACTACCCCCGAACGCCTCCGAGATACTTTGCTCCACGAGATCTGTCACGCAGCCGTATGGCTGCAAGATGGTGTTAATGGTGGTCATGGGCCGCGATGGTTGCGAGTCGCTAACAGAGCTCTGGCTGCCTGGCCACACCTACCGCGAGTTACACGTTGTCACAGCTACGCCATAGATACTCGATTTACATACCGCTGTACACAGTGTTCTGCCTGCATCAATCGTCACTCGCGCTCCATTGATGTTTCTAAAAAGGTGAGTTGGCAGTCCACGAAACCTTCATGAATTGATCTCTTAATCGATTCTGAGTCCTTATGGACGATCCCGATTATAATGCATATAAATGATCCGATTACGCACCATTTTTTAGGCACTCACTAATTTAGTAGCTTGTGCTCTATTACTTAATAGTTTATACGGCATCTTCCCTTAGATATGGCTTATAATAGATCGAAGCATATTTAAAGGCGTAGTCTACCATCTGGATTACAGACGCGGAGCCTTAGTGTTGACCTGTTTTCCATTTAGTTTGAAAAGGCTAATGGGATGGATTAGTAATTTGGCCTGCTTGGAATTTAGCTTATTTTACTGCAAAACATTTGACTTTTAAAGAATGCATTTTACCAACGAAAGAGTTAACTTTCACATTAAATTAAGTTACTCTTCTCTGAGCCTTTCATTGCAAAGTAATGTTGACTGGAAGTTGTTCTTAAATTGATCCTTTCGAAAACCGAATGAGGATCGCCTTGGAGCTTTTTCTGTTGATTTTGTGCGAATAAATACTTATCACATTGTTCTATAACTCTGATTAACCCGTGTTAAGCTTTCCTTTGTTATACGACAAATACCGTCAGATGTATGAGCCAAGTTGCAAGTTGTTCCTCTAAATGATAGTAGGAACATCACATAACGGGAAAGGTAATACAATCATAAGGAAGTTTATACAAATTTGACTAATAATGTTAAGCTCAGATTAAAGAGCAGTAGTTGTGGTTTTGGATAGGACTAGTTATATATATAAACTTTTTTTCGTATATAAGTAGAGTTTTGAGAATTTTCCCACAATGATTTGAGTAGAACTGACTTTTCCATTGAATTTCACAGAGC